CTGCAAGGTGCATCTCAGTGTCTCCAAGTATTGGTTACATCTTTAAGTATAGAAATGAAGATTTTGAGCACATATGAGTGTCTGGGGAATGGATCTTCTTATCCCATGTCCATTTTTGTATTGGTTAGGCCCAGATGGGTCAGAGTCAGTGCAGGATTTCCAGAGATAGTTGGGGTGGGGCGAGGGGCGTTTGCTTCTTTTTCATTCAGGGTGATTTGTTCTGCCCAGCTGCACGGTGGGATCTCTTTGAGGAGAGATACAGTTGCCATCTGGCTTTTGCCAGTTTTTTTTTCCTTCCCCTTCAGCACTGTGACTGAGGCCCACTGGCTGGCTTTGCTGTTCTCTGCTGTCTGGGAGCCCAGAGCCAGTGCACACCGCACCGGGACCCAGAGCACCCCATTCACTGCCGGGGGCTGCCCCGTGTGCTGTGCACAGCCTGACCCAGGGACTGGGAATTGCCGGTGGGCTATGCAGGGGAGCGATCCCTGCCCAGACTGTGCTGTTCTCCGCTGGTCCTTCAGTGCTTCTTGTTACACTGTGGCTCTACACCCGCAAACGCCACAGCTTCAGCACAGCACCAGAGTTCCTGCTACCTTTTACTTGCTATTCCCAGGTGAGCCAGCCCCTGCCGTTTCAGCTGCTGCTCCAGGGCTCCTGCTACACCTCATTTCGCTGTCTGGAGGGCCACTGGGACGGACTGCCCGCCGTGAGTTTGTAAAGGAAGGCCTTTTCCATCTCCTCAGCCGGCTGTGGCCGCCATTACCGTGTGAGGGAGACACGGCCAAGCTCGCGTCACAGCGCCCCCTGCCGGCGCGGAGGAATCACCGCCCCCGCCCCGCCCGGCCGGAGCCACCAGCGCCCCTGCCGGCCGTGAGCGGAACTGCAGCGCAGGGAGGGCAGGGGACAGCCGGGAACGAGCTGGCGCAGCGTTTGTGGTTCTGTTCATTGTTGCTGCCGTTGTTGTTGTTTGTTTGCCTTGTTATACATACTACATACTAAAAAACTGTTGTTCATTTTTTCCCCCTATCTTGACTGAATGGGTGAATCCCCCCTTAATTTCTAAGTTACGGTAACTCAGACCAGAAAGGCGTCCTATTTGCAATTCCAAGAGAGACTCCCGCCTTCCTTGGCACACACCTGTCTTTCAAATCAAGACAATGGGAAACTGTAATAATGACTTATATAAACATAATGAATTATGTACACATAATGAAAGTGTATATAAGCCAGCACATAGTGAATGTGAGTGGAAACGTTGGTCTTGAAGTAAAAGAGGAACTAAGAAATGTAGAATATATACAATCTATCTTCATCTCCATGCAATGTCCGTCTTCTCTAGAGCTGTAGATTTCAGATACCAATTTGGCTATGACAGTGTATTGTTTGCCCAGAAAGAACTGCAGATATTTTGGGTCTGAACGTGGAAGGCTGCTGTATAACATTCATAGAATCACAGAATATCCTGGGTTGGAAGRGATCCACAAGGGTCATCAAAGTCCAACTCMTGGCCCTCCACAGGACAGCCCCAAGAATCATACCGTGATGCCTATGGCTTAGTTTATCATATATTTTTATCATATATGTAACATTCTAATCTTTCTGCAGATTCTTTGAAATGCTCTTCCTTCAGGAGGAACTTTAATGCAGGGCAGGAACTAATTTGCACTGAGCCATGCAGTCAGTGGGCTCAACGGGACAGGCTGCTACAACGAGCCTCTCTCTTCATTCCCTGTGTATTAAGGAGGCACAAGGGAGCCATGTACTAAGAAAACAAAATGACCCCTCACTCAGATGCTCAGGAACTGTCAGAGTGGCACTGAAATATACCAGTGGTTATAGAAATTATGAGAAATCAAAGTTTCATATGGTTGCTTCTAAGGTTTATTTAAAGATTCTWRKTGGATTACTAAGTGACCCAGCAYCATTCAAATGTTTCTTTATCAAAATACTTATAATATGTACATGATTAATGTTTTTCATAAGACGTTCAATACTATAATTTCTYTTATAAGAAAAAAGTGCTCTGAAGAGGTATTCTGTACCAATGGGCATAAAACAAGAGCAAGAGACTGTCTTATCTGACATCACAGATTATCTTACTACTGATGCAGCAACACAGGCCTCTTCTTCATCAATTTG